GTGGGCTCGAACCCAGCCTGGTCAGTGTCATAATTTGAGTCGCGAGCTTGAATCCGGACTGTTCTCTGATTTGACAGGGTACCGGTAGGATTTGTATCAGTGTGTGAGCGAGGGACTTCTCGGTAAGTGAGTTCTATGTAGATAACTGGGATGGGGTAGGCTGCGGGCTCGAACCCGGCCTGGTCTGTGTCATAATTTGAGTCCTTCGTTTTTTTCCCCTTGGGCCAGGGACGTAGGTTTTGAGTGGAGTGGTTTTGGCCCGGTATCGGTCCTCGAGCCAAGGGCCTATTTGTGGTTTTGGTGTTGGCTCAGTACCCCAATCTGGGGAGTTGCCGGGAGGTGGTCACATAAATAGAATGGTTGAGTAGCGTTAATCCTCTTTCTTTCGCTAATGGTTCTACCATTAGCGGAAGTTGGGTTTGACGGTCGCGTTGGTGGACCTTGGGGTTGTCGGAAGTCAGGTGGCGAGTTTAATGCAAAATCTGATCATTCTCGGATTCGCTTGTGTCCTGTTCGCGTCTCATGTCTTGTCACGTTCTCGTGTCTTGTTCACGACTCATGCTTGCATGCTCAAGTTAATCACGAATGTGTGTGGTTACATATTCTTGAATGCATTTTTATCTCATAATACTTGGTGGGTGGCAGACCCCTAAAAACGGTTAAGTTCCCTAAGAAGAAGAAAAAAAAAAATGTAATCTTTGGTGAAGCCTTGAGGAGGGTTGATAGGTCGCAGACCCCGGAAACGACTACGTAAAAAAAAGAGTGTAGTCTTCAACGTAGCCTCAGGGAGGGTTGGTGGGTGCCAAGCCCCTGAAAACGGCTAAGTTCCCGAAAAGAAAAAAAAGGAAATGAATTCTAATCTTCGGCAAAGCCTTGGGGAGGGTTGGTGGGTAGCAGATCTCTCAAAACGGTTAAATTCACGAAGAAGAAAAAGTAGAGAAACAAGTGTCTCCTAAAAAATGTTAAGTTCCCGAAGAAGGAAAATAAGAAAAAAACTGTAATCTTCTGTGAAATCTAGGAGAGGATTCGTGGCTGGCAGACCCCTAAAAACGACTAAGTTTCCTAAGAAGAAAAAAAAGAAAAAAAAGTACGATTTACGGCGAAGCTTCTGGGAGGGCAGGTGGGTGCCAAACCTCTAAAAATGTCCAAGTTCTCGAAGAAGAAAAATAAGAAAAAAAAGTATAATCCTGGGTAGCACGGCATACGTGTACGCGGATTGCGCGTACACGCGTACACGTATTCATGTACGCGACACGTACGCGCGTACACGTACTCCCGTACGTGGGAATACGTAAAAAAAAAAAAAAAAAAAACAGTCATCGAAAAACTCTGGAAAAAAAAGTATGTTATGCAAAATAATATTTCTAACAACTTTTGCCTGAGACTCGTCTCGCAATTCTGTACCAAACTCGAGTAAAAAATCAAAGACACAAAAAACAAACAAATTGGAATAATTAAAAAAATAATAGGAAAAAAACACAAAAAAATAAAAACAAACTTCTATAACAAATATATGTTATGCAGAGACATGATACAAACAACTTTTGCCTGGGATTCATCCCCTAATTCCCAACCAAACTCGAGTAAGAAATTAAAAACTCAAAAAAAATGTAATATTATCATAATAATTAGAAAATTATTTAAAAATATTTTTTTAATTTATTAAGGTTTTTTATTTTTAAATCGAGTTTGGTTTGGAATTCGGGCATGACTCCCTGGCAAATGTTGTTTTTATCATTATTCTGCACAATATACTATTTTTGCAGATTTGTTGGATGTTTTTTTGTTTTTTACGTACGAGTACGCGCGATGTTGGGTTCGTACGCATACGCTGGAATACGTACGTGTACGCACTGCGTACGCGTACAGGGTGCTACCCACGTATAATCTTCGATGAAGCCTTGGGGAGGGTTGGTTTGGTGGCAAACTCCTAAAAACGGTTAGGTTCCCGAAGAAGAAAAAGAAAAAAAAAAAGTGCAATCTTTAGCGAAGCCTCGGGGAGAGCTTATAGGTGGCAGATCCCTAAAAATGACAAAATTCCCGACGAAGAAAGGGAAGAAAAAAAAAGCGTAATCTTTTGCAAAGCCTTATGAAGGGGTTGGTGGGTCGCATGCTCCTTACAACAATTGAGTTTCCAAAGAAAATAAAAATAAAAATAAAAATAATCTTCGGCGAAGTCTTGGGGAGGGTTGGTGGGTCGCAGACCCCTAAAAACGGCTAAGTTTCCGAAGAAGAAAAGACAAAAAAAGAAGTGTAATCTTCGTCGAAGCCTTAGGGAATGTTGGTCACTGACAAACCTTTGAAAACGGCTATGTTTCCGAAAAAAAAAAAAGTGTAATCTTGGACGAAGCCCTGGAAGGGTTAGTGGGTGACAAACGCTTGAAAAAGACTGAGTTCTCGAAGAAGAAGAAAAAGAAAAGAAAAAATGTAGCCATCGGCGAAGCGTTGGGGAGGGTTGATGAGTGGTGGACCCCTAAAAACGGCTTCCTGAAGTAGAAAGATAAGAAAAACAAGTATGATCTTCGACGAAGCCTTCGGGAGGTTTGTTGGGTGGTAGAACCCTAAAAACGGTTAAATTCTCAAAAAAGAAAGAAAAGAAAAAAAAGTGTAATCTTCGGTGAAGCCTTGGGGAGGTTTGCTCCGCAATGGCTAAGCTCCCGAAGAAGAAAGAGAAGAAAAAAAAGTGTAATCTCCGACGAAGCCTTGGGGAGGGTTGGTGGGTTGCATGCCCTTAAGAATAACTGAGTTTCTGAAGAAGAGAAAAAAGCAAAAGAAGTGTGATCTTTGGCGAAGCCTTGAGGAGGTTTGCTGGTTCGCAAACCCTTAAAAATGGCTAACTTACCAAAGAACTAGAAAAAAAAAAAACAGTGTAATCTTCGGTGAAGTCTTAAGGAGCGTTGGAGGGTGACAGACCTCTAAAAACGCCTAAGTTCCCGAAGAAGAAAAAAAAAAAAAAAAAGTGTGATCTTCGTCGAAGCCCTTGGGAGGTTTGCTGGGTAAAAGAAAAAAAAAATGTAACCATCAGCGAAGCCTTGGGGAGGGTTGGTGGGTGGTGGACCCCTAAAAACGGCTATGTTCCTTAAGAAGGAAGAGAAGAAAACAAGTATGATCTTCGACGAAGCCTTCGGGAGGTTTGTTGGGTGGTAGAACCCTAAAAAAGGTTAAATTCTCAAAAAATAAAAAAAAGAAAAAAAAAGTGTAATCTTTGGTGAAGCCTTGGGGAGGTTTGCTCGGCAATGGCTAAGTTCCCGAAGAAGAAAGAGAAGAAAAAAAAGTATAATCTTCGACGAAGCCTTGGGGAGGGTTGGTGGGTTGCATGCCCTTAAGAATAACCGAGTTTCTGAAGAAGAGAAGAAAGCAAAAGAAGTGTGATCTTTGGCGAAGCCTTGAGGAGGCTTGCTGGGTCGCAGACCCCTAAAAACGGCTAAGTTACCGAAGAGCTAGAAAAAGAAAAAGAAGTGTAATCTTCAGTGAAGTCCTAAGGAGGGTTGGTGGGTGGAAAACCTCTAAAAACGCCTCAGCTCCCGAAGAAAAAAGAGAAAAGAAAGAAGTGTGATCTTCGTCAAAGCCTTTGGGAGGTTTGTTGGGTGGCAGACCCCTAAAGACGACCAAATTCCCGAAGAAGAAAGAGAAGGAAAAACAATGTAATCTTCGGCGAAGCCTTAGGAAGGGATGGTGGGTCGCATGCCCCTAAGAACAACTGAGTTTCCAAAGAAGAAAAAAAAAGGAAAGAAATGTAATGTTCGGCGAAACCTTGAGGAGGTTTGCTGGGTCGCAGACCCCTAAGAACGACAAAGTTCCCAAAGAAGAAGAAGAAGAAAAATAAGTGTAATCCCCGGCAAAGCCTTGGGGAGGGTTGGTGGGTGACAGACCTCTAAAAACGGTTAAGTTTCCGAAGAAGAAAAAGAAGAAAAAAAAGTATAATCTTTGACGAAGCCTTAGGGACGATTTGTGGGTCGCATGCCCCTAAGAACATCTAAGTTTTCGAAGAAGAAAAATAAGAAAAAAATGTGTAATTTTTCGAAAGCCTTGGGGAGGGTTGGTGGGTCGCAAACCCCTAAGAACGATCAACTTCCCGACGAAGAAAAAAAACTGTAATCTTCGATGAAGGCCTAGGGAGGTTTGCTGGGTGGTAGACCCCTAAAAACGGTCAAGTTCCCGAAGAAGAATAAAAAGAAAAAGAAGCGTAATCTTCGACGAAACCTTGGGGAGTGTTGGTGGGTGGCAGGCCTCAGAAAAAAACTAAGTTTCCAAAAAAGAAAAAGAAAAATAAGGAGTGTAGTCTTCAGCGAAGCCTTGGGGAGCGTTGGTGGGTGGGAGCCCGCTAAGTTCCCGAAGAAGAAAATGAAGAAAACGAAGTCTAATCTTCGGTGAAGCTTTAAGGAGGGTTGGTGGGTGGTAGACCTCTCAAAACGGCTAAGTTCACGAAGAAGAAAAAAAAGAGAAACAAGTGTAATCTTCGGGGAAGCCTTGGG